TTTTTTTTTTTTTAGCTCATCAATGTAGAAAATTGAGGAGAATTCTTAAAATTTGCTAAGGTTTTTGGTTCAGAGAGATTTTTTTCCGATTTGCTAAGGTTTTTCGCGGAGAAAATTCTTTCGATTTGCTAGGGATTTTCGCCTCAGAAAGTGACTTCCAAAAAAAAAAAAAAAACGAAAATTTTTTTTTTTTTATTAATTTTTTTTTGTTTTTTAAAAAACCCCCCCCCCCCCCCTGTAAAATGTAGCTCGCACATTACTGACATAGAGCATGACTATTTTGTCTTATTTAATTAAAAACATTTGCCACATCGATGACATCATGAATATAGCGCCAAATTAAATATTTCATTAAATATACTCTCTATTGTATGCAAATGAGACATCCAGAACATGGCACAAAAGAGAGAAACTCATAATTATTCAATTTTATCGTTTTGAAATGAGAAATACAAATGAGAAATGTTAATTGGTTTGTTCATTCATAGGTTTGGAAGATGGTCAGGTTCGTGCATTAAATACAAAAACAAATAAATCACAACAATTGTATGGGACACAAAGCATGGTTGTATCTTTGGCGGCCAATGAACGTGGCACCGGTTTTGTTTGTGGTCATGATGATGGCTCGATTATTCGTTTTTTTATCGGCGAAGAATCGGGCGCTCAACTGTCTGGACGAATTATACAACATCAAACGACACCGGTGGCATTGGCATGGGCCAATGGCTATATCATTGCAGCCGGCTGTGATCGACGCATTATATTTTATGACTCACAAGTGAGTGTCAGCCAAATGAAAATTGTTCACATTTTATCTTCAGTTTCGTTCAATTCATTTTTTTTATTGATGTCAAGCGCAATTTAAATTGAATTTAAAAATTGATTCAACATATTGAAAATGCTCGACTAGGTCATATTTTGAATATTTTGGATATTTTGAGAAGATGCATTCATTAAACACAATGATTCATTTTCATTATTTCAGGGTCGACAATCACGCCTATTCGATTATTCGCGTGAAGAATTTGAAAAAGAATTTACAATCGCATCGGGTAGTCCAAATGGACAGGCGGTCGCAATCGGTAGTTTCGATAAAATACGAATATTTACGTGGAGCCCAAGACAAAGTGCTTGGAATGAATTGGCCACCAAACAAATCGATAAACTGTATACCGTCACTGCAATGAGTTGGCGACGTGATGGCGCAAGGTTAGTATTCTATTCAATTTTTCTCGATCCATTTATTTCTATGTTTGCTTCACTCTTATCAGATTGGTGATCGGATCGTTATGCGGCGCTGTAATTATGTTTGAATCGGCATTGCGACGAACGATTTTACAAGATAAATTCGAATTGACTTTTGTTGCGCCAAGCCAGGTGCTTGTTAAAGAGCTACAAGAATCAGCTGGTGAAAATGTGCTAATCGAATCACAGATTGGATTGGAAATCTATGATGTTCGAATTATGGGTTGGTTTGAATTGAATTTGATGCAATCGGATAAACAAATAGTCAATCAATTTTGAAATCATTTTTTCAGGTAAAAATAATTACCTCGTTGCACGCACCGATGAATCATTGATTTTATGCGATTTGACACGGAATTTGACGAGTGAGGTTTCTTGGACCAAATCAGGCGATCATGAAAAATTCTACTTTGAAAATCCAAATGTTTGCCTCATATTCAACGCCGGTGAACTGTCGTTGGTGGAATATGGCGATAATTTTATCTTGAGATCTGTTAGGACCGAATTCGTTAATCCGCATACAATTTCTGTGAGATTGAATGAAAGAGGAAATACAAAGTACATATTTTTAAATTAAATGAGAAAAAAATGTGAAGAATTTTAAGCGATTTTTTTTTTTTTTGCTTACAGAGACAACAAGAAATTAGCCTATCTGTTGGATATGAAAACTATTTGCGTGGTCGATTTAATTAAAGAGACAACAATCGCTCAAATTCAACATAATTCGAAAGTCGACTGGCTTGAACTGAATGAAACCAGCCAAAAGTTATTATTTCGCGATAAGAAAATGCGGCACGTGATATTTTTATTGATTATTTTTTCGAGAAAAATATTTTACTTGTTTTAAAAATTCCCGAATTTTTATTCATTCAATTTTTTCCCCGAAATTTGCAATACTTTTTTCTTTGAATTTAATTTTTTGTGTTTTTATATTTTTTTAAATCAAAAAAATTGATTACTTTTCATTTCAGTGTTTTACATTTTTTTTAAATTTTCATGTCAATTTTTTCGAAATTTAATTTTAGCTTATATTTAGTTGATGTCGCAACGTCTGGTGAGAAGCAATTACTATTACCAAAAGCGTTATTTGTTCAATGGGTAAGAAATCAATTATTTCATCATTTATGTAGTCGCTTTAATTTCAAGTAAAATCTTTTTAATTTTCATTCAATATCGCCTTTAGGTAATCCAAAGCGATGTTGTCGTTGCTCAAACTGACAATAATCTGGAAATATGGTATAACATTGATATGCCTGAGCATAAAACGTTGATGCCAGTTCGAGGCGAGGTCATTGACATCGTCCGCGAAAATGTGTGTATTAATTTGCCCTCAATTTGTGGTTTCCCCATTTTTGTGGTAAACAATTTGATTTAAAAATGAATTTATTAGGATAAAACGGAGGTGAAAACTCGCGATGGAGCATCTGAATTTACTTACTGTCTCGATGAAGGTTTGGTGGAGTTCGGTACAGCAGTTAACGATAATGATTTTGGTCGTGCAATATTGTTCCTCGAGACTCTCGGCGATGTACCGGCTGCAAAAGCAATGTGGCACAATTTAGCAAATGTTGCTCTGAGTCAACAGAATATTTTGGTAAAAAAATACGATTTAAAAAAATGTTCATACTTGACCAAAAAAAATACACCATTTATTGACACTGAATGGATTGCAGGTAGCTCAACGTTGTTTTGCCGCTCTGGGGAATGCATCGAAGACGTTTTACTTGAGCGAAACAATGAAAATAGCTGAAAAATACGAAGAAACAACCGGGCCTGGATTACAATGTCCAGAAGTTCGTGTTAGGCTTGCACTTTTGGACGCTGATCTAAGGTTTCAAAATAAAAAGCTAAATAAATGTCAAAAAAAGTAAAAAAAAACTACCAAATTTTCGTTTTTCCAGAACGGCAGAAATGATTTATCTTGAACAAGGAAATATTGAGGCTGCGTTGCAAATGTACAAAGACCTTCGAAAATGGGATGATGCGATCAAGTTGGCCGATCGTCGTGGTTATTCGGACATTGAAACTTTATTAAAAGAGCAAATGTCATATTTGTTGAAAAGTAATCAGGAAGAAAAAGCCGGCCAGGTGTTGGAAGCACGCGGTGAAACGGATCAAGCAATGACATTATATTTGAAAGCTAATCGACCAACAAAAGCAGCACGTCTATTACTGAAGTTGCCGCATCTACTGCACGACGAAGAATTATTGAATCGCGTCATTACATTGCTCATTAAGTCTGGTAACACTTTGCTGTTTCTTTAATTGATGCATTCTCTTCATCTTTCTTTTTTTTTTTAAATCCATTACACTTGACTAACAGAGTTGTACGAATTGGCCGGTGATTTGTCGCAGAAAATGAATCAGCCAAATGCCGCGATTGACTATTATCGTAAGGGTAAGGTATTTGCGCGTGCAATTGAGTTGGCTCGCAGTGTGTCTCCAGAAGAGGTGACAACATTAGAAGAAGAATGGGGTGATTGGTTGGTGAGTCGTCGACAAGCCGATGCATCAATTAGCCATTATATTGAAGCTGGAGCAACATCAAAAGCCCTGGAAGCCGCCGTAAATGCAAAACAATGGCTTAAAGCCGTTCAGGTAATAAAAAAATAAATCAATTGAAATAAATATGCATAAATTCTCTGAAATATCTGGCTATTTTTCAGATTGCACGAGTTTTGGACGAGCCCGATGAAATTAAGCAATTTTCGGTTGAACTTTCGAAACAACTTTCGCAAATGGGCAATATTACAGCGGCCGAGGAGATTTTGGTTCGGGCTGAAATGTACAAAGAAGCCGTTGATTTGTTAAATAGTTATGGTCAATGGGAAAAGGCATATGATATTGCTGAAAAATATCTTGGTAAAAATATTGTGCGTGATATGTTCATTGACATGGCCACAAAATTGGAGGAAGAAAAAAAATTACGCGATGCTGAAAAAGTATTGCTAACCATAAACGAGCCCGATTTGGCGATTGCAATGTACAAACGATTGGAACACTACGATTCAATGATTCGATTAGTCGAACAGTATCATCGTGAATTGGTGAAAGATACACATTTGCATTTGGCACAAGAGCTCGAAGCAAGAGGTAGATACAAAACGGCAGAAAATCATTACATCGCCGGTGGAAATTGGCAAGCGGCTGTTTATATGTTTACCAATGCAAATCTATGGGAGGAAGCGTTTCGTGTGGCCAAACAGAAAGGTGTTGAAGGCGCTTCCAATCAGGTTGCATACATGTGGTCACGAACGCTGCCCGTTGACGGTGCATATAAGCTACTTTCAAAAATGGGACTCATCGAAGCGGCAATTACTTATGCATGTAAAGATAAAATTTATGATTTTGTATTGGAATTGTGTCACATGGCAAATCGACCAGCCGATGATATTCATTTGAAAATTGCTCAAGACTATGAAGACGAAGGGAAATTCACTGAGGCCGAACCGGAATATTTACTCGCCAATAAACCGAAAGAGGCAATTTTAATGTACACACATAGTCGAGATTGGCGGTCAGCACTTCGTATTGCCGAACAATATCTACCCGGTGCCGTCAATGAAGTGCTTTTAAGTCAAGCGGCCGATGCACTCGAATCACGGAATTATATTGACTACGAAGCATTATTGATTCGTGCCGAACGAACCGACATTATTTTACAGCATTACAAAGAGAATTTAATGTGGGATGATGCCATTCGAATTGCCAAAGAGTATAATCCGTCGTCGTTGAACGAATTGAAACGATTGCAAGGCCAATCGAGTCGCAACAGCGGCTTAGCAAATGACTCGAGACAATTGCTACAAGAAGCATCTGATTATGCACGCAATGAACGATTCCGTAAGGCAATTGATTGCTTGATGAAAATTAATCAAATTCCAAATGCCGATCCACAAGTCGTTGAACAAGCGCTTATACGTGCCGCTGATATGTGTAATCAATTTCTTGAGGGAAATGATGCCGTTGAAGTAGCACACCAATTGGCGCCTAGTTTATTGAAATTAAATCAAATTCCAACCGTTGCTCAACTATATTTGGCTGCCGAATTACCAAAAGAAGCGGTCGATGTATTTATACAAGCCGAATATTGGAATAAAGCACGGCGGCTGGCCAAAGAGATTGACCCACAATTGCTGGCGTATGTTGAAAATCAACAGAAAATTCGACTTCGTAGCGATGGAAATATTGAACAATTGGCTGATATTGGTGAGCTCATTATTTCATGAAATTTCGATAAATTAAGACTACACCGTATGTCATTTAATGCGGTTCGATTTTTGTTATGTAATCTTTTTTTTCCTTCTTCGTATAGATGTAATCGCTGCACTGGATTTACTAGCCGAACAAGGCCAATGGACGCGTTGTATTGAAAAGGCAAAACAACACAATATGACTATAATGCATAAATACCTTGCCCAATATGCAGCACACTTAATCCAAAATCACGATATTGTCAATGCATTGCAATTGTATCTGCAGTATGGTGCACCGGCTTTACCACAAAATTACAACATTTACTTGCGTATTGCGTTGGGCTGCTTTGCATTGCGTGAAGCTGATGGTGTGCATGTGTGGAAAGATTTACGAAATTTCCTTTTTCAATTGACACAATCAATTCGAGCCGAATCAAGTGATAACAATGATAAGATGCGCCTTAGCTACGATCAATTACTATTGATAGCACATTATTATGCAACACGGGCGGCATGCCGTGAAGTACCTTCACTACATCAAATCGCTGTTAAAATATCAATCGCATTGATACGATACAGTGATGTAATTCCGGTTGATAAGGCATTCTTTGAGGCTGGAATGGATTTACGAACATTGAATCGTGAATGTGAAGCATTTGTATTTTTAAATCAATATTTAGATATTTGCGAAGCAATCGAAGATGCAAGCAATTTAGTCGATTTTTCCGATTTACATGATATTACGGATATTCCTGAATCGGTGCCAATACCCGAAAAAATGCATTTACACGATGAACAAAATGTACACGAAGAAATACGCGAATGGGTCTTGGCCATTAGTATGGACCAAAAAATTAATCAGGTGCGGAATTATTCATTATACAATTTTTTTCTTCAAAAATATGAATAAACTTTGAAAAGAATTACAAAACTGACAAAAAAATATTTAAAAATTGGTAAAAAAATGTCAAACTAAATTGGGCGAAAAAATAAAAAATTCTTACATAATTCTAGATATTACCGACCGATGATCGTAATTTATACGAGTCACGCGTCTTTGATCACGAGCAACCATGTGTTATTAGTGGCTATCCAATTCAGCATAAGCAACCGGTGATTTTCCAACGATCACATCGTCAGGCGAATCGTGATGTCTGGAGCAAATTGACGGTGTCTGCAAAAATGTCACCACACACAAGCATACCCGATACAATTGAATTTGTCGAAAAATGGTGTGGCCATGCTAATTTCATTGCCTATTAGATTTTACAAATGAATTCTAAGCTGTTGTATTTTGTTTTGTTTTCATTTTATGGCATACATTAATGTAATATCCTTTATTTGCTAAAAAAATCCGTCTTTTGTTTCGTTTTCTTTTTTTTTAAATTTCCATTAAATTTAAATGAATGAATTTGATTACTAGAAATTGTTATATTATCAATAATTGAGTTTGTATTTAGATTAAAAATTGGTTTGTGTTTCGAATAAAAACAATATTCAAATAAAATGCCTAACAATCGGGTGCAATTTATTATTTGGTTCGATTTTTCTTGTCTGTTGTCATTTTTGATCAATATTTTCTTTCTTTCCTCTATTCAGTTTTGTGTAAATTTTAATTTCCTATTTAATTCTAAATTGTTGCCGACAATCCAACGACAATTAACAAAATACATGTACATGTGATTAGCTTCTTGCGTTAAAACGAAATAGCCGAAAAAAAAACTAATAATTATACAAAATTAATTTTGTGTTGTTTTTTTTTTGCGAAGAATTCAAAGAAATTTATAATTTTCTTTGCACTTTCTCACTCTTAATGCGTGTTCACAATTTAATCAAATATTTTCTTTTCGCTCTCAAACAAATTTAAACAATCGATTCTTTTTATCATAAACACCTTCGATGAATTTTGGTATGATTTCTTTTTATATGCGTGAATGGATAAAACATAGAATAAATTCAACCCGAATGGACATTGAATAAATCACCAGCCGATGGTAACGGTGCCAGTCCGCCTGTCACATCAGGCAATTGTGTGAGGTCCGGAAGATTATTCAAATGATTTTTTATCTCCTTTTGAACATCTTTCACTTTAACCAATTTTTTGTTGTACTCCTGTAAACAGTGAAAAATAGGTTTCAATAAACCAATTTCAATTCACAAAACAACACATATTGAGCGCAAAATTTCAAATTTTACTAAAGACTGTTTCTCAGGGCAGTATATTTGAGTAGGAGTACTTTTTGGAGCCGAAGGAGTACGTATGCTCTGAGAAACCGTCTCTGAATTTGACCAATAACGAAAAAAAAATCGTACCTCGAGCCGTTGTTCTGCTTGTGCCAATAGTTCCTTCTGTTCAGCTTGAAAATCTTTCAGCATTTGTGTCAATTTTTTACGCTCCTCCATTTCGACCGACAGCCTTGTATTATAGTCATGTAGAATTTGTGCGGCTTCATTTACCTGAAGAAAATTGAGAATTTTCATATTTTTTTAAAATTCGGGTCGATATTTCAAAAAAAAAAAAATGTAATGGAACCTACTTGAACTATCAATTTAGCGGCTGCGTCTTTGTCTTCAAGCTTCGACAGCAGTGCAATTTCAGATACTTCCGGTGGTAAATTGGCGATACGCTCTCGAATATTGGCATCACTTGAAGCTGAATTTTCTAGATTAATTAGCGCTTTGATTAGCTCCTCTGGTTCCGGTGGATCGCCTGTAAAATTGAAAAAAAAAGAGAAGAAGATAGATTCAGTTAAAAATGTCAATCGTCAAACTACACTGAAAATGAAGAAAACTCACCAGCTGGTACCTTTGGACTGAGAATAACATGCGTTTCAACGGTGCCATTGATTTCGATTGTTTCACGTTTGCCATGCTCTTTGCCTGATGTGGATGTTTTTTGTTTTTTACTGCTTGGCTCTTTGCCATTTTCAATGCCATCGGTGCTCTTTCGTTTTGATGTTGATCCCGTGCTCGTGCTATTCTGCGTTTTCTCTCCAATATTATTCAATGCATTTCGATAGTCTTCAATCTGTTTTTCATCATAGACACCTCGATCTTCCCAAATTTTCAATATACGACCTAAGCTGCCTAATGTTTTTTCATCACTTGAACACGTCTCACCGATATGTGTGAAGGCATTTTTCAGCATTTTTCCAAATTCTTTGCCGTATTCGGGTCCTTTTTTCTTACTATTTTGTATAACATCGTTGGCAAGGTACATGAATGTTAATTTTTTACTTTGAGGCACTGCATTCCAAACGAAAACAAAAAATCAAAGAAAACAAAACATTAACATTATTTTTTTTTTAAATAAAAACAATCATTTTATTATATTCTCAATTTTGTTTGTGATTCAACAATGATAACATGGAAACGGCAACATCTACTGTTGTCGCAAATTCATTATCATCAAAAATCGTCACATCGATTTGACAACACCACTGAGCCATTGGATGCATACAATTGAGGTTATGATCTATTTGCATGGAATGCAATAAAGATTTGGATTTTTTGTCGTCTGAGTGCTTTATTTTCGTTCAAATAATATAGAGATTCACAGTATACCGATAACAATTTCACTGTATTTTGTTTTTACCTTTCATCAGTTCCTTGTACCATGACTTCACGATATTGGCATAGTGTTTGCGATGATGGATCAACCATAGAGACAACGTTTGAATGCTTTGTTGGCTTGCATTTAAATCAATAAGTTTTTTAATCAATGCCGTTTCCGTAAATGCTGACATTTTGTTCGTTTAATTAATATTTTGTTTATATGTCTATTTTGTCCGATGCGGCCGTTTTGAAACAACAACAACAGCGAAAAAGAAAGTCTTATCAATATCTCTTTTTTCGTGTCACACTATTTTCGTCTAGTTCGATTTGTATTTTGTCTTTTGGTTGCACTCGATTCGTGGTGATTGTGTCTGTATTTTTTTTTACTCTTACGACTTCAATCGACTTGAATTTTTCTCAATGCAAATTCGACCGTCGAATCACCTGTTCCATTTGTTTATTTTGTTTAACTATTTCCTTGTTTACGAACTTAATTTTCAATCATCAATTGGTGTCAGCTAATGTCTCGATGATTTACTACTTTATTTAGATGAACATCGTCTTAATCTATGCATGTACTTGAGAGGCAAATAAAACAATTGAATTTTGAAACGTTTTCTTTGTTATTATTCTTTTTCAGTGTTCAATGTTTTTCGATCTTTATTTTAATTTATATGTTAATATGTACTCGTTAATGTTAGCATCGGCTTTTTTTTTCCCGGAAAAAATTGAACCTTGTTTTTTTCTCTTCTGCCCAAACAACGAAAAACAACACAAACAAATAAGAAATCTTTTGATGAACCAATCACAAATGCATGTTTTTCATTTGAAGCTATTATTTTATGTCGAAAGTTAAATTTAGTTCAACTAAAAACAAATACAGTGTATTCCTTTTTTTTCTTGGTTAATGTTGTATGCTGAGTATTCTTATGTAAAATGTTTCGAACTAATGTAATTATCAAATTCTTTCTTCTTTTGAAAAACAAAACAAAAACTATTTTGTTGTTTGGTTGAAATTCATCAATTAAAACCACAGATAATTCAAAGTAAAAACAAAATTTCGGAGAAACTGCTTTCAATCAATTGTGTCGCACATTTTTCTTCGTTTGTAATACGGTGCGTGTGTGTATGTGTGATTGTATGTAATTGTGTAAAGTCGCAAACGAATGACGTTTATGCCGTGCTGAATGGGTGTGTGAACGAACCGTAATGAGTGCCGTGAACCCGACATTATGTTCAGTTTCACCGTGTTTGGTGTGGTGAATATGACAAAGCTCGTTTGCTATAGCGCTCAATTTAATACGTGACTTTTCGTTCTAGAACCAAAATGTGAGCACATTATTTTTTTGCATTGACAACAACAAACAATTTGCAAGAACCAAATGTTCTTTTTGGACAAAAAAAATAATGGGATGAGAGAATATATGATTGTTTGATTGCATCAATCGTTTGGCATATTTGAAATGGCAACATTCTCGACCAACTTTTTATGGAAATCTTGAGGAATATGATGATCATGTTCATGGCCATATGATTCGACGAATCACACCGAAAAAAAACCCACAAAAAATAAATAAATTTGTATGTATATTTTGTATGCATATTTTATAGCCCGAAAACTAGACAAAACCGATTGAAATCAATCACTAAGAAATAGAAACAGTTTAGTAAATATCACTGGGAGAGCAAAAGGCAGAATTCCTACATGTATTTCTATTTAACTTTTTTTTTAACAATTCAACTGCAAAATAGTAGAGGAAAATTGAGTTAAATTTTGTTTTGGCAACGCTTTTTTTTCACATGTTCATAACGTGACATTTGCATTTGCATATTTATTTGGTTGGCATATTACAGATATGCTATTATCGTCATATAGATATCGCATCGCATTAATCGTTCAGTTTTTATTGCTTTGCATTCTGTTTCTCTAAATTCGATTGACTTTGAACATCTGCGCCATTTCCAATTTCAATTTTTGTCTATTCTTCTCAAGTGTTCTATGCCTGTCTTTATCGCTTGTCGGATATATGATTTGAATATGCATTTATTGTATTTTATCACAACCAGAAAACATAAGCTGATCAAGACAAAGTGAATTGACGCGTTACTAATTTGTCTATTGATGAACGCAAAAAAAGCAATCTGTCAGGATCAATACGTACTAATTAATTTGATTTTGGTTGGGTGGAGTAAAACTTGTTTTATGCTCAAATTTATCAGCCAAATATCATCTCCTTTTGGAACAATTTTATTGCCAAAGCCGATAGTTGAACATCCACAACATACGAAAAGCAAAAGAATCACTTCGATTGCTATCGATTTGAACGGAATAGACGTAAAAAAATCGCGGACACTTTTTTTTCTTTACAAAATGGAATGCAAAATGATAATTAAATCGGTAGAAATGGAATGCAAAGTGATAACCAAATATTATCATTAATATTTATTGAAAAAGTCTACATTCTAATTTCTTGATTGAGAAATCATCGATGATATAAGTATGTAAACAAAAATAAAAAAGCAAACCCTTAAAATGTCCATTGAATTTGCATAATACCAAAAACAAACATGCATCAAACACATTTGCAATTTGAATTTATTTGTTTCGTTAGAATTCTTGATGGATAAGTGTGCATTCCTTGTGACTATATCGTGTCTATTCCTGTCGCAATCGCACCGAAACCCAGAGAGTTTGTTTATGTTTATTTTATTGCAAAATAAATAAGTGGCCGTTTTTGTGTGACGAGATATATGTATATCTGTCATGAAAACAGGCTGTTTTTGTTGTTATCGAAATAAAACCGTCTCTCTATTCACAATTGTTCTGTATTCGGTTCAATTACAAAATTGCTGAAATGCTGAAAACCAGTAACGATGCAATGATATCTATCTTGTAATGATATTGCCTAAGTTTCATTGTGCATGCGTAAAATGAATAGCTTCGCACAGGCACTGTTTTCTTTTCGCTTTCGTTTTGAAGGTACAATTTATGTGTACCACCAGCAATGTGCACATCATAGCACTCTCATGCGTCCGTACACTAGTACAAACACTTTGGCACATACCATTCGCATGTAGTACATGTGATTTGAAGCACGAATGCATATTTTCACATCTTCAATACAAAAAAAAAACAGTCAGCCAAAGGAGTCAGCACACAAAAAAAGTATAGTTTATTGATGAAGTAAAATAATAACAACAAACAAAATCAAGACACACACAGGAGACGACATATTCAGGGAAAACAAAATACCGTTTTTATTTCATTTCATTTCATGAATGCAATACAAATTGAAACTGGATACAATGCGAATTGAGCACAACACACCAAACCATTCAGTTAAAGGCTTTAAATTGCATACAGATTTAACCGTCTATATACGGAATTTGAAATGCAATGGAAATGTATTAAATTCGCGCGCACTTGCATATGCTTCGGTTGCTCTTCTGACCACACCATTTCGGCATTGTTGTTCTGTTTTTCATCACATCTATGGCAGAAAAAAAAGTAGCGAGAAATAAGAAAAAAAAAACACTGTTTAAATAAAAATCGAGGCACAACAAGCAATCGTGAATTCGATATTCGCGTCCATGTCCAACTCATCGTTGCTATTCTTTTTACAGCTGCTGTGTGTTGTTTTTGCTTTCGTTGGTCGGTCGAATTGAATTGACCGAATAAGCGACCATCACGGTATTCATAATTTAAGTTGCACGTAACTCTCGTGTATAACTCTTTTTTTTGTTGTATTTTTTCTTCTCTTCTTTCAAAAAGCACAAACATTCGAAGATATGCATGGACCGAACATAGAGAAGACAGACAAAGTAAGAGACACACATTGAATACGATGAGAATGGCAACAACAAATGCCGCCATGTACACCTATGTGCCCCGTGCCGTGCAGACTTCAAAAAGTTTGCTTCGATCCAATATGTATTTTATGCAAGACAGTATGTAAACGACCTTCCGACAGTAAACATCGATTTTGATTTGAGTGAATTAAAAAAAAGGTTTATCATCATAATCTACATCGATTACTCGATAGAATACTTCTTCGATTTGAATTTGATTGCTTGTCTTTCTCCAAAATAACAATCTGTCTAATTTCAATCAGTTTTTTTTTATCTTTGATCAAAATTCATTTCTTATTTTCCATGAAATTTCGGCTACTTTATTAATTGTGTAACGGTCATATACATTATATTACTTTGTTGAAATGCTTCTTCCTCCAATTTCGAATGTTACTCTCTTTTCTTAGCTTGATCGCCAGTCTTTCAATGAGTGCATAGTTTTCATTTAGGAATTACCATTCATTGAAGTCATTCGTAGTAAAGTGAGACGTTCTTTTCTTTTGCCATTTTTACAGCACAGATTCGAATTGAATCCAGATTGGCTGGAGTTGGTTGAAAAGTGTGAAAACATTTCGTTTCAATAAATTTTTGGTGTTAAATTTATTTTGGAGCTACATCACAGCAGAACACTTTATGCAAAAGAATCAAGTAAGCGAAAGTGCCTGAAAACCGCTGATAAAGTTTGTGAAAGTGATTAAGTGACATTGGTCGACGCAAGAGCAAAAAATATTAATAACACTAAAGAGAATTAAGCAAAAGAAGAAAAAAAATACCAAACACACATCGTTGATCAAGTGAATGCCTTAGCGTAAGTGTTTTTGCAACACTTAAAATATTTGTAATTAAAGTAAAGCGAGCAGAAGAAGCCCAAGCATATTTCGACGACATGTTTCGTGTTGCGATATTGGTGATTTGCTTTTCGATTGCATCGGCTCAACGGGCGAGTGGAAACATTGGTGGCAAAGGTAAGCCTTGGTAGAATGAGAAATTAATTTTCATTGTGTACATAATTTCGGTGGTGTTGGCTTCAGTCAACGGTTACTTTAAATAATTAAAAAAAAAAAAAAATTAAATTCAAACAATTTTTTAACATCAACTGACACAAATTGTACAGTACTCAAAACATAACTTTAATAATACGGATTTTTAATTAATTGGACTGATTAACTGCGGTTCAGAGATTTTTCGCTTCAATAAAAACCAATACAACTAATACCGACTAGACTAGTATTTGCAGTTCATACTTAAAACCAAAAAAAGAGTAGACACACTTTTTTGTGTGTGCACGGAAATGAGACAGATAAGAAATGAATAAAATCAACATACTGTAGAGAGATACATTGTTTGTTTGCTTTTTTTTGAAACGTCGTATAGCAATAGTTTGAAATTGATCGCCAATATCCTAGTTAGACATTCGTTTAATTGAATTTGATGTCGTTTGTGGCTCTTTTCCACCGTCTCCCTCTCTCGCTCGCTCTCGCTCTTTCCTTCTCTCTCTCTGTTCAACGTTATTTTTGTATCAAAGATTGTTGTGTTTCTTAGCAAGTGAGCAATCAGCACGCACAGGTACTTTTTGCCGTATACATTTTCATTTTCAATGTGGATATATTATATCATGCCCAGTGAAAGTTTTTATGCGCCCGCATTCGAAAGCCTATCACTTTCTTACGCTGTACTCTTTATATATGCGCACATCACACACATAATCTTTTTTTCGTGTGATATCAGAAAATATCGATTTTTTTATTGCATGCCAAAAAAAATGTAATATTAAAATAGCATTGAGAATGTAGATTGCAAACGAATTGAAATTCCAATTACGTGGATTTAGTGAAGAGGAAAAAAAGTGTATCGAGCGGCACATAGCTTTAATATCGGATAAACGGTCATTTGTTTACTGGAAAAATAGCATTTTGTGCACCTGAAATATGTGCACATAATTCACATTTGGCCTTTTCACCATGCCGCCTTCAGACTTCCCATCGAAACCATCGATGCGAAATGTAGACCAAAAACAATCTCACACACACATATATACACCATTCAAAATATTCATGTTTATTGAATCGCAGTTTAATCAGCAGTGTTATGCATATTCAATTCAGATAATAAGATATGTGCGCACACTTGCTTTCATTCCGAATCGTCAATTTTGGTTTTTCAGATGGAAGAGAAACAGAAAATGAAAAAAAAAACAACAACAGTCGAGCAATAGCTTAATGTTGCGTTTTAGTCGGTTTGTATATTTGCCGATGTGTATATAAATATTATGTTACCGATTTTTCTTCGGAGTTTGTTTAATTATGTTCCGGTTTTTGCAGTGACACAAGTTGGTATTCGAATGTGTGTGAGTGTGTGTGTGTGTTTTTTTTTGGGTGAGTTAGGTCTCAAGAAAGCGAGAAAGAAATATGCTGAAGATCACTTTCTCATGCATACACACACTGGTTGTTGCTCTTATAATATTCGCATGCGCTCAACCGATAAAAATTCACGACACAAACAAATTCAACATTTTTGTTGTTTTGAATGGGTTTTTTCACTCTTTTCTCGCTTCCAAATATGTTTTAATGGTTAGCGTTGTTGCTACTTTGAACATTTTATGAGAAGTTTATGACTCAATGGAGACAAATGCGCTGATTTTACTTGTCACATTTTATTTTCCCTTCAAATGATAAACAATGTTATGTTACTCGTTAGTTTAGGCTGATGTTTTTTCTTCTTCACATCGAAATAAGTTTCTCGAGTGACTGTAAGGCGGTTCTGTAAATAAATATAAGAGTGCGATAAAAAAAATATATGAATTGCCGTATATAATTGAACCAAATGCCAAATTCCACATGATGATATCACGTACAAATCCAGCCATATCATGGAACCGAACACCCGTGTGTGTGTGTGTGTGTGTGTGTGTGTGTGTGTGTGTGTGTGTGTGTGTGCGTGAATGAAAGAGAAATGTCAACGAAATAAAATGAGATGATGTTATTGAATTTAACATTGAATAAATTGCTGTGCACAGCAAAACGATAAAAAATGGCAAAATATATTATGGCTACCGATATGTGTCTTCGCACAAAAATGTTTATTTATTTTTTTTTTCCGTCACTTTCTTCTCACATTGAGTTCTCTGTGCTTTTGTCGCTCAAAACTGGCTCTTCAACGTCGATGTGTATTCATTTGTCAATTCGGTTATTATTGCTTTTTCGGTGCCAGTGACGCTGCGTAAAGAAAAAAACCGCCGAGTTTTCTTCAATCCCACTCGTTTTTATTTGTTTATATAATCATAAATCAGGCGCACGATAATTATTGTTGATTGTGCGATGTGCATCAATCCCATTACAGCGTCGTGTGCTAAGTGCATTCCATGTTTGTGCCGACAACACAGAATTTGACCGAAATTATCGTTTCACAATGGTTTTATTCACTATTTTTTTTATATGCCGCTGCTATTAACCAACAAAACTACCAAATTTACGGAACGAACAAGTAGCATAATGAATAAACCGAATTTATATGTGGGCATCTTGAGGTTGCAATTAGCATTTAGGGTCAAGTACTGTTAAAATTTGATGAAACGACACACAGCAAATTAAAGAAAATAATAAAATTGCAATCGACTCATGGGCTGCATTGAAATGATTCGATTTATTGTTTTTTTGGAGCAGCGTTTTTTTAACTTTAAATTGATTAATGGACATGTTGCAGTGCTTTTTTATCAATGTTTGAACCATTTCTGCGATTACTTTTATTGGCATTGTGAATGTTTAACGTTATAATCCATTTGCGTAATGTTTTATTCTGGATATTAAAAAAAAACAGATATTAATGATTGGAACGTTGATTTTCATGAGATTGGCGTTACAAACGCACAAGCGACACAATAATTACAGCCCTAAAAACGGGATAACGGCGCAATAAGTGCCCATAGCATCATCACACAGTGTCCATCCAATTGCTTGGGGAGGCATGATTTGATGCAGATATTCATGTGAATCGTCCTTGACAAGACGATGATTAAAGTTCCAAATGGCCTTACTCATAAGCAAGCACATTGTGAAGCACAAAAAAGCAAGAAATACAGATACAGAATTGTTAAATGCCAACCATCCTCATTGTTATGTTGTCAGTAACTGAACCGACCGCTTTTTTTATCGTATTGAGATGACACGAAGTGCCTTGTTTTCCATAGTTTTTGTTTTCTTCTTTTTTCGTTATGATTCTATCTGCATGTTTTTTTTATCTTCTCATTTTTCATTTCTCGATCAAGCTCTGATCGTTGTCGGTGTGCTTTGTTTCAGAAGTAATCTTTTCGCCGTTTGGTTTATGAATTCACACAAAACCACTGAACCATGCAATTCACAATGCAATGAACCTATCGCTGATTTCTTTTATATAATAAGTTCAAGACTCTTTCTTTTTATTGAGATAACGAATTTTGAAGCTCTTTTTTGCCATAGCGCTTCTTCTTTGGCACTTTGATGAATGATTTAACCGTTATCGCAATGTTGGTGTGATTAGAGACAGACTAGATTGGGGTTACATCTAATTAGCTTCATTCATTTGATACGAACCGAAAGATTTTGGATAATCCAAATACAATCAACTTTTTTTTTTTGCATTTTGCTCTCTCTCTTGTGGTTTTACTTCTCGAAAAAAATCAAATAACACCTACCAATTAGCCGCATGGGTTGATGGTGTCTGTTGTGGTGATTGTATTGTAAAAACGTTTTTTTTTGTTGGTTTGTTGTTGATTTTGCTAAGAATAAACACACATAAATTTCCACGTTTTTCCTGAATGAAACGATGACCAAAGAGAAAATCTTCTTCTCTCTCTCTCTTCCTTCTCTCTCTCTCTCTCATCGCGCCCGAAAAAACAAACAAATAGGAATCGGTGACGAGGAAATACAGCGTCAAAACCGCATCACAGCTCAAATTGTAGCAAATTACTTGGAACGTCGTTTGTTCCCTCATAAATCGCCCACACACCGACTACCAACGGTCGACGAAATTTTACCGACCACAGCACAACTACTAAATCAACATAGTACGGCCGAATCAAAGACAAAAATTACAAGACAATTAGGGCATGGTACAAATGCAGCACCACCGCCAAACACCGACGTGGATATTGGTGATGACGATGACTATGATAACGATGACATCGACACCAATGAACAATACATTGATCCAAACGATCCAGAAAATTTACAAAGTGTCGAATCAAACCATGTGGACTCTTACTATCCAGATATGAACGATAGCATTAGCAATGAGAACGAAGGCAGGTGTTCACAAAATTATTTCAATTATTTATATTTTCAGTTTGATTTTTTCTCCATCAAATTTTAATTTCATGAAATTGACGACGAATTTTTGAAAAATCCGCTCAATTTGCAAAACAAATATATGCCAAAGCCTTTATTTGAATTGAATAGGTGACTTAACCGTAGTTAGACTCACTTACATTCACTTGAACGGTTCATATTGTTTGCGAGAAACCATTTTAAATAGCCATAACTAAATCAGTTAAACGACTTTGACATTGAAAACATATTCGAACGCAAAATGATTACCATAAAATCGATATTGAAATAGAAATTTAAACAATTGCCCCAATAAGACTTGATTTTGACATTTGAATTAATAGCAACCGATTGCCAATGGCTAATATCACACTTGACTCATCAAAAAATGATGGAGAGAAGAGAGAAAAAAACGCAACATAACAGTTCATCACTTGAATTGGACAACAAGAACGAAAGCCATCGGACTGGCAAGGTTGAGCTTAAAAAAACACAGAGACATTTTTACTACTGGGGTTCGTGCATTGACAATTAACATATTGCGCTCTCACTGTGTATGAAAAAACACTAGCTGATGCGAGTGAATCGCACTGATGTCGTCCATTAGCACCATAATAACAGTCAATTAAACAAAATTAAAATTATGAAATGACAACATACGATCGAAGTTGAATACTTCACATCATTTTACAGTTATCACTGACAACAAATCACTCTGAATCAGGTGTCGATGTAGACATATTGTTTAGATTTTTTTGTTGATGAGTTTGTGCGATTAATCAACAAACGATTATCTAAAAATCAAGGATACATTCAGTTCCCAGCCCCGGTTAGCTGTGTGTGTGCTTTGAAGTCAATTTGTCAGATGTGACATGAAAATCATCGCAGTCACAATGAATGACAATTGGTCAATGTTCCAAACAAAGCGGCGAATCCACTTGATGAAAGCCTGATAACGCAATAAAATTGCCATTAGTGTTCGTTATTGTTGTTTTTTTTTTTTTAGATTTGGAAATATCGTTAAATTTCTTTGCCACTGGATGCTTTTGAAAATGCAAAACAAAAGACAAATGGCTGATTAAATGACGGAATCAATTCCGTTGACAACACACAACAACAAAAAAAAGAATCACCGAAAAAACGAATGCAAATGTGAATCATTTCGGATGAACTTTTTTTTCTCTCTCTTTTATTTATCGATGATGATGATGCACGCGTGTAACACGATGATGGGTGTAAAACCTGTATTGATCACTTTTCGAATCGAAAACGAAATGAAATAGAATAAACTGAAATATATTGTGCTTCGAAAAAATGTGAAGGTTGCCCACACAGAACTATTTATTATACCCCATAAGAAGATGACTACAAAGTATAAATCGAGTCTCTGACCTTATCACAATTGAGTGTGAATCGCATATTTATTTTTTATACGCATGTATGCTGCACAATTTGCAGCCTCATGCATCCGAAATCATCACAAAGAAGAACATGTTTGATTATAGCCGCTGGATGTGCGAGACTATTTATGAAATCAGCATTTTCGATATGATAATTTATATCGATAATCGCTTGAAGACAATGTACAGAGAGATTTAATGATGTTCGATGTAATGAAATTCGAATTATGATTGCGTGCGCTTTAGAGTGATGAGAAAAAAAACAACAATTATATTGCCAATCGTAATTATCACATGATTGCGTAGACAATTGACTTACCTATTTATTTCATCGAAATGCAATGAGCCGTATACATTTAATTGGCATCCAGTTGATTTGAATAAAAATAGCACACAAACCGTTTTCCAATTAAAACCGTTTCATCATCAACCGAAATGAATTGCGAATGCAAGGCACATACCGGTTTTTATCGAAGTGCAAGGGTCTTTTGCACACAATCGATCAAACCATTTAAATTCAACGGATTGACAGACATGGGCACGGTCCAGATGTGTCAAAATAGAATGAAGTATCAAGTGGCTGAAGTCAGTTTTAATTATAAATTCCGTGTATAAAAAAATAATACTTATTATTTCTTTTGTCTTCTTTTGCCACTTTTCTTACAATTCTTCTTCCTGGATTTATATAAATCAAAACGTCGGACGATTGTTGGTAAATTCAAACGTCAGGCGATTCAATTGAAACTGCATAATGTCAATAACCTGTTTCGGTATCAAAGTTGATATAGCAACCGCTCCAATTTTCTTCAACACATCACATATCACCAATTTAATTCGATTAATTAAAATGTTGAATTTCACACTTGTCATCGCATTGGCAATCATGCTAATCTTATCGTGCTAGTTCATTTGGATTTTTCCACCTTTATGCGAACACACTATCGTTTATATTATGCACTCATTCGCCAAACAGCGCTGTTTTTTGAACATTCATAAATCGTATTTCATATGCAGAAGAAGAAGAAGCAAAAAAAGCCAACCAAAGATTTTTATAATCCGATTTTGTTGATTTAGTATTCGAACTAACCATAAAATTGCATCCGAAAATTTTGAAGTGGCCTCGAATATGAAGAAGCACCCATATTTGTCACGTTGATTTGCTATGCATCAGTGCAGTTTTCGATTTGATTTAAATAAATTTGCTTAATCGTTAGAAAACCAAAAAAAAAAAAACGAATCAAAAATGGAATGGAACGGAAGTGGCATTTTTCGTTTTAAAATTTTTATATTTTGAACATTTATTACGAGTGGCACTAGTTTCTAATGAATTCAGTCGATGGTTTCGTACGAAATGTAGAATAAAGTTTCGTAAGTGATTGACGCCTGTGTGGGCACTACCTTTTACTCCTTTTCGAAATGGCATTGTCTATACGGCATCGATCTATTTCTAAATAGAAACCCTAGAAATAATCGAGAATTATCCGTATTAAATAAAATGTTTTTAAATGTTTTTTTATGTTTTTTATCCGTATTTCCATTCAAAATATTAACCATTCGCTCAAAGAAAAGTGAACATGTTCCATTAAGCGCCAAATGGTATATTTTTTCCAATCATAAATTATGTTGTTAATGATCCAAAAAGGCACAAGAGAGTTTTGGGAACGTTCAATTTATTCATTACAATATTAAAATTTATGATAATCGCCGGATGTAATCTGGTGCATACATCAGACGCTGGCCAAAATTATAACAATGCGAAAGAGACCAGCAATTTTTGATTCGTTTATTTTTTTTCCCTTAATTTATGTTGAATGTAAGCTGAAAATTAATGTACATGTTTATCGTTCATTTATAATTATAAATTTACATTTCGCATGCAACGCAAATGGAAAGACAGAATGCTTTTTTGATGTTGTTGTTTTTTTTTATGTTATCGCATTATTAATGATTTCATGCAAATGAATATCAAAGTTATTCAGATGCTGAAATAGCGACTATTTATCGATCATTTGTGCGTAAATGTTGTCACGCGGTGGGCTTGGGAGGCTTTATGGGAAAATTAATGATAAGTTTGTAAATAACATGAGACAGTGTGTGTCGTATTCTTTCTGTTCGTTGTTTGTTTTCTTTAGTTTGTCATTTGTGCCAAAATGAATGAAATATGACTTCTTTGAATGACAATGACAACAACAACAACAAAAAACTAGATAAAATTGCGATCCACTTCAAAATGAATAAAATCTAGTATTCAACACAGTACATTCACGCCGCCAGCGCATGCATCAAACTGTTGCTTGAACACGAAAATTGGGAAATTGTTTTTGGCGTAGGAATGATAGTCGGTATGTCTAGCTTGTTGGATCGGATTAAAATGCTGGAATCACATTACATTTGTGTGTACCATTGTGATGCAGTCGCAGCACCGAATTCAAAGCAAAACTTCGACAGCATACAAACACCATGAAATAGGAGCATATTTACGCGAATCTTTAAAAGGCAATTGAAATTGTTTCGACATTTGTCGGTATGTTGTAGACGGTGAAATGGAATCAACTAAAAATTACTTAATTTTTACCAAACGACACAACAACAACAAAAAAGACGATAGAAACGTGTTTGTGTGAGTGTGAGAGAGCTTGAGTGGATCGAAAACTGTCATTAAACTGTATGCCTGACGGCGGTGAATGACAAACAGTACATAAAAAGCATCAACAACAACATCAAATGACACATGATATCTAGGTAAAACAGATGCCAGTTACAGTGAAAGCGATCCACCAAGTCCATGCTTCACAATGTGATCTCAATAGGTCCTATTTCATTCTCGTTTTCAACGACTTGAGTGCACCGCTTTTTTGTTTGTTTGTTAGCTTCTGTTTTGGACAGAATTTATAGATTCATTTGGCGGCATTCAGTGCACAAATTGTGTCAAAATTCGTGTGTCATAGGCACGATGCTCATCTCGAAGAGAAAGGACATCTCAACATCATAACACGGAAACCATAAAAAACAAATTGAACAAATGAATGAAAAAAATACCGTTTTTGTTGTTGCAATTTTTGCTCGTTTGCCATTCGCTATAATTCACTTAATTATTATTTAAAAAAAAAAACTGGTTTCTTCTGATCGTTCGGCACAGAGATAGAAAGAGAGACTATTGATGCTACGACCATATCGTATGTCGAATTCCAATTTCCAACTCAAACCAATATTAGTTTTCTACTGCTGCTTTTTTTTTGCTTCGTTTCACGTTTTGTTTGTGCAAGTGCGCAGCCAAATTGGTTGCTTTGCTCGGCGTTTTTTGCATTGGGTACGTAATGCACTCAATTGTGTGTGCATCCGATCTTGCCAATTGTACTCGTTTGTACGCCTGCCAATGTTACGAAACTAAGTCATTCATTGAATCAGTTACCATAGCATAAATCTCTCAACCGATAAACCAATTTATTTTCCTAACAAGTGAAATAAAAAAAACACAATCGCACAAATCCTCAAATATTTACATAGATTGATAATTGAATTCTTGGCGACGAAAAAGACAAAAACCATTTATTTATTTTTTTTCGTGGAATTTATGG